CCATAGAAAATCCAAAAATCAAAGAAGAAATGCAGTGGGAGGATTCATATGAATCTATGGATTCATCCTCAGTTGATTTACATAAATTTTATTCGGCAAAACAATGGGAAACAGTACATAATTTTGTCCAATCAATAGGGTTTAGAGATATAGATGACATGAATATTCTTTCTAGTGATGATGTGGCTAAGACTTTTGAGCAATCACGGGAAAAAATTGTTAAAATTCGAGAAGATGCATTATTACTCTTTGGCTTTAAAACCAGAGCTAAAGGAATACCAGATCTTAATGCTACAATAAAATTTATTAATGCAATAATAGGTAATTGGTACGGTTATACTATCAGGAGTGGACAAAAGCTTTTAGGGTTAAAAGGTCAACAAGTGTGGAAACGCACTTATTGGATTCATTGCAAACCATATGATGGAGCTGGTTTTGATAATCAAGAAAAACTAATAGAAATAAAGTTGCGTATTCCTGATTATCTTTCTATAGCTCCAGCTCTTCCATCATATAAGTCAAACGTAATTGACAAAATTCAAGACCTTTTCGATTCTATACCTATTACCAGTAATACAACTTCAGAATGCATAGAATACATAGAGCACAATGTTTTTGACTCATCTAATAACGTAATTGATAAAAAAGATTTATCTTTAGAAATGTTAGCTCAATACGATACAGAATATAGAAAGAATTCTTCTCAAAATATATGTCATGTTGATATTGCTACTTGCGAAGCCAATGCATATGAGGAAGAGATATCTGATTCTTTAATTTTTTTATCTTCAGAGTTTCTCATTAAAACTGAATCTGATATCGATATTCTTATCCTTTATTTACAGCAAAAATTCCAAATGTCAAAAGAAAAATTGGAGCAATGGTGAGCCAAGATTGCCTTTGAAATGCGGAATAAAAAAATTATTGGAAAAAAGAGCGTGAGAGTATGGACAAGATCGCTTTCCTGGAATACAAACGAAATTTTGAGGCTAAAATGAAAGTTCCTACCACTCCGTATAAAAAAGAACTGAAAAAT